GTTGCACTGTAGCTGGGACAACTTTTTTTTTTTTTTTTTTTTTTTGTTATAATTGACTAATTTTTGTAGTGGCCAGTAGCAAGCAGGAGAGGACACAGAGGCCTGGGAAAAGATTACTTTTGTGGCAAAACATAGTTTGTGGCAATCTGAAATGACAGCTTTTAGGCTGTGAATGGACATATTTGAGAGACTACTGTTTGTGCAGGTAAGGGGTAGGTTTGGTTTTGGTTTGGGGTTTTTTTCCCATTAAAGCCAGAGGAAATGCTGGAACATGTCAAAACCTTTGAGCAAGAACTAATAAGTGAACAAATAACCTGCAGTAAACTTCAGGTTGTCACTCAAGGTCAAGCATGATGTGAGTTGTTCAAAAAGGTAGTATTTTCTCTTTAGATACAAAGTAAAAAGGGTGGACTTTCTACTGACTAACAAAACTGAGGCTCTGCAGAAATAGGAAGCTTTGGCAGTTATGGAGAATTACTGCACAGTGTGGTAAAAATTAGAAATGTATGGTGGTTAGCAGGCTGTTCTTCATTTGGTCCATTTGGTTTTGTTTCACAACCCATTTTTTTACTGGATGTAGACAGGAGAGCAATTAAAAGGGCCTATGCAGTGATTGGTTTATAATGGCAGCATCCTAAAGTTTTCACTGATGAAGTGTCATTTGCTTGAAAAACAGTAGCTGCCAGTGGTAAAGCCATGGTTTCCCATGGAGAATGCTCATGCTCAGGCTGGACCAGGTGTTGTTTCAGTTGCTCCATTTGCCAAGACTGACCGGAAGAGGAGAGCAAAGGTTTGCTTGCTCAGGGAATTCATTTGTGCTGAAAGCAGTGGTCTTCCTTGCTTTCTCTTACGGTTTGTGTACACGTAGCCGCTGTCTGAAGGAGCACCAGATAGGCATGATTTCAGTCTGGCTGGCCCCAGAACACAGAAAGCAGTCCTGGCAGCTGGGGCTGGAAGAGGTGGAAAAGCGATGTGCTTCTGTCCAGGCAAAGGGGCAGAGGCTGCTCCCTGCAGCAGCTGTCCCTGCCCAACTTCATGGCAGGTACAAGG